TTAATATTATCTTAAAGTAATTGAAATTATAACATGTTACATAACATGTTACCTTCCCGAGTGGGAAATAATAACTAACATCTAACTTCTTTTTTTTGTTACCTTTTACTGTTACCTTTATGCTACATAACATGTTAGTTTCGAAAACGTAACATTAACACAACAGTTATATAACAGTGTTCACTGGGATTGTACTACATGGCATACTCCACCTGTTGTTTTCGTACAATAATTATAAAGAAATCGAAGTAAAACTCCAGAATTCCCCTGGATTCGTCGTTTCTGAGGTCCTAATTGACTGCTGAGGGACCCCCTGCGCCATCTGTGATTTCCGTGTAAACTAAATTTTCACTCCGAGGCCTCTAATTACCATCGTTTTAGCATAGCAGCGTATAAGACACTTTTTTGTCTTTACCCCGTTTAAATGCAAGTTTCTCGATTACCAAAGTGTTATAAATTGTCGTACCATTGTCCTGACTCTTTCGATTCTCATATTAGAGCCTTCAAAAATTGTATGTCGATCAAAATCTGAGAGTTCGACGCCTTTTTGGTTATGCTCTAGGAAACGTTAAAAAATTTTTGGCGAAAATACAAATTTTGAAAGTATCAGGATAATTCCTAAGGGCTCATCAGTTATGTGTCAAAGTTTCAGACTGTTTGGTTCAATACTCTTAAAAAAAAAGTGTCTTATTCGTATCAACTGAGTCGAGGGGGGTTTTACTTCACCTTAGTTTAACGCCGATGAGAAAATAATGGATCTAATTCACCAGGTCGCTCTAGGAGGTTGCAAGGAGTCGAAAAGCTTCACCTCGGCCTTCGAACGTTTAGAGCTGGAGGTCGGCAGAGAGACGAGGGACGTCGCGGTGCCGTCCCTAGAAACACGGGACGCCCAGACCTGTCCTTGCGCCGATTGTCAGGAAAGAGCCCTTTCGATGCCTTCCTTCAAGACCAGAGAGATATCCTCCCTTCGTCTAGTGGTCCAAGGACCTGAGATTCTTAACTACCAGGTCCCTTGCGACCTATAAAAAATAATTTAATAATAATCTCTTATAGAAAAACTGGTGGCCGTCAAAATTGCAAAATCAAGAATGAATAGTAACCCACCAAACAGACTGTGTTACAGTTACATAACACTGGAATAACATGATGTATAACGAATGCAATACAGAAGATACATTAATATTACATAACGTCAAATTATTGCTCTATGTTACAATTACATAACACTGGAATAATATGATATATAACGAATGTTATTTAAAAGATACGTTAATATCATGTAACGCCGAATTATTACACTATGTTACAGTTACATAACACTGGAATAACATGATATATAACGAATGTTATTTAAAAGATACGTTAATATCATGTAACGCCAAATTATTACACTATGTTACAGTTGCATAACACTGGAATAACATGATATATAATGAATGTTATTCAGAAGGTACATTAATATCATATAACGTCGAATTATTACCGTTCGGTAACATTGTTATAAACTTGTAAGTATTGGAGTTATATAAAATTATTCTTACGTAAACATGTTACCGATGTATTATGTATACGTTACGTTATTCGTCTTATAACAGTGTTATATAGCTGCGGAGGAAGTAGTAATACAAATCTAAATTAAATGTTGTACGTATGTTACATTACATGTGTAAACGTTATGTAACGGTTATATTATTGTTACATAACCGTGTTTGGTGGGAAGAAATTAATGATTTTTACATAGATTTCATTGTTACTGCCGACATTAAGATGCGATTAAAAACGTTCCTTATAAAAAAGTACTTGGACCATTAAGGTGATATGAAAGTGAATACCAAGAATACCAAGAAGTCAAAATATTTATAAAAAAAGACATTCTTTTTCGAAAAATGAAATTTCACGAGCATCGCGTTCTCCCTGAGGGCCTCCATAATCACATATTAATGTTTCAGATTATTCAATGCACCCAGTTTGTAGAAATGTTTTATAAATATTTTAACGTTTTATATATATAGAATGAACCTTTCATATCGCCTCAATCATCTGTTACCCTGACGGAATAACTTTGTTTTTTAATTTAACGCATTTATCTCGCTATCACTAGGTGGTGCAATTTTAATGACCAATATTTCGGAACAAATTGTAATTAAATCTATACGTTAGTCAATTTGTTTAGTATTTTTTCTTCTTTCCAGGGAACAAAGCAGGCCCCGGAAGATGTGGCTCCGTACTGGAAAAAGGATTCTCGCATGTGGTTGTGGAAATCTGTCAGACTTGCTCGCAGGAGAAGAACCAAGCCAAAGCCTTCCGGTGTTCCGAGCTCTGCAAATCGAGAGCAGGATACCGAGTAGCTTTCCTTGGAAATCTTTCTATTTTTTTTTTTTTTTTGATTTGACGGAGTTTTAACGCGTCTCTTCTGAAATTTCCTAGTGATTTTTATATATTTGTTTGTTAGTAACCCTCTAGAGGGATTGGTTATTTTAATTGAGTAATCTTTAAAGCTGCGAACTAAGCAGTGCCTGCAACGAAGAGGGTACATTTGATTTTTTATGATTTTAATATTGTTTTGCTTTGCATTTTAATGTCCACATTGGACTACATTAATGTTACGAGTACGGTAAAACTTTTAGCATTTTTTCATTTATTTTTTTTTTACACATTTTAGTGTTTACTACTTGGACATTTGAAATGTAAACATATAGACGGAATAGCAAAGAGCAATTTCCGATTTCCTGGTGTATTACTGGTTTTTACTGTTTTTAATACAAATTTTAAACTTTGTAACATTTCAAGAATAGTGCTTTGTAGAAGTATGGTACTGAGAAGTATGGAACTTCTATATGTATACACCTTACACGTATAATATATAGATATATAGGATTATTAAATTAACATTGATGACGACTTAATTGCTTGTTTTCAAGGAAGATAAATGCTTATCAATTCTACCCTGTTTATCACTTCTTAATTGTGTACGAGAATATAATTGATTGAGTCGTAAATGCCTCAGCCACAAATTTCGACAGAGTCCAATTTTTGTGGCCTTTCCAAAGACTCGCCCATTTCGAAACGAGCATAGTCTAAAATTTCAGCCTGAGCACCCACGAGAAATTGTTGGACCGAGACACTTGGATCCAAAAGGAATTCTTGAAAAATCATTGTTGTCTCATCATCCGAAACTGGATTTGGTTGGTCATTTTCTGGATTCCCAACTTTATCAGGATTCATACCTAGAATTATGAAATATATATAAGAAGTATTTCTGTATAAATATGATGATAATATTTTAATAAAAAGTATTTGTTTTTGATTTAATGAATTCTTACCGATAATATGTTGACATAACTGTATCCCCAATGTCTTATGTTTAGAGGCTATTTTGTATGCGACCAGTGCTCCATACCGACCAAAAAATACAGAATGAGGAGTAGTGGGAGCTGGATGAGTGCAACCTGATAAAAAGATTCCTGATTGCACGCTCAAACATAATGCTCGTCTTATGCCTAGATTTTCTCCGACGCTTCCAATTGTCAGAGCAGAATGGTCCGCCAAAGACTTGCCATCGGATGCTGGCAGTGCTTTCAAAGTTTCCGAATCTAGAGGTATCCTAGTGACTGGCTCGTCAGAATTAATTGATGCACTGTATTTAAGAACTGCATTGGCTACTGTTTCGGTTAGATTTTGAAAATATTTGTTTCGTGCCACAAAATCTGTCTCACAGTTGATCTCTACCAGGGCACCATGGTTGTTATCAACGACAACAGCAATTAATCCTTGAGACGTGGTTCTACCTTGTACCTTAGCAGCCTGTGACCATCCCAAAGCCTGAGCCTGCTCTTTTAGCCACGTCTCAGCCTGAAATATACCAAGAAATATATAAATTATTCAATAGTACAAAATTACTCAATAAAAAGTATCGCTACAACTTTAACATCTTATCCCACCTTTTGTAAATCGTTTTCATGCAATTCCAATGCCTTTTTGCAATTGGAAAACGTATAGCCAGTTTTCTTCCGGAGTTTCGCAAGTAGAGCTTTGTTCGACGACTGCCAGAGAAAATTATTGATGTGGACGTAACGCAGTATTTTATGCGAAATCATCTGTTGGATAAATGAAAGATCTTAGGTTACATGTATTTTTATTTAGAACTAAATGTAACGATTATAAGTTATGATTTTCTTAATGTGGCTTCCAATTACTCAGCAGCTATGAAGATGCTTTACCGATAGCCGAATTTAAATGCATTATCACGGTTAACTGACGGAAAATTAGAATTCGACTTAAACGTTCCATTTTCCTTCGCATATATACACGCAATTCGGCATACCGGGCTTGCAAACATAACCTAACCTGAAACTTCCACGACCACAGCAAGTGTAACTTACAATCTTAAGCATTCAGGGAAAGAGAAAAGAGAACTAGGGTAGATATTTCATACTTTTAGGATCATCCTCACCTCCAGGGAACGAAAATTCCTGGACGAGGGATCGATCGTCGTTGCCTAGGAACTACAGTCAACTGCAGCCGCTGATTTCCTAACCTCTAACTGCTCACCGTTCTCAGATTGTAGTTGCCGTAGTTTGCCCGAAACCGATTGCCTCTTCTGGCTCGTGTAAAGTGGGCTATTTCTTTCCTACCGAAAAATGTTAACGGAAAACTTTAGGGGAAAGATTGTAAATCTCTCGATACGGTGCACAACCTAAGCTCACCGTACAGGCGGAACTTACAGCAGTCGCGGTACACATAAGTTAATGGCGCTAAAGGTACGATTTAAATTTGCAGTATCGTCGGCATTAAATTATTCGGATTTTCTAATCGTATCAATTAGATTACAGTCGCATATCGATTATAAGACATATTCAGATCGATTTTTGTGTTTCTTTTTCTTGCTAAAAGAGACCCAGACAGCACAAATGCATAGCACAGAGGTTCATAGAATATTCTTTGAAAATATTTCAATATTAATAAGATATAGATTTATGTGCTGTGTACATTTTTTGAACATAGGATGAATGTAGTTTTGGTCAGTTTTTTATATTCGAAATATATTTAACGAAATATTGTATGGACATGGAATGCATACTTCTTACACGTAAGAAGTAGCATGTCATATACATATCTGAATGATATTTTTTGGCACAAAAATAAAAATACAAAAGATTCATATTTCAGTATTCTATTTTTAAATTAGTGTCAACATTTGGTGAGATAAAATATTGAAACATAAGCACCTACTTTTACAAAAAATAAAGTACTTACCCAGGGAATAAANGAAACATTATCATATGTACATAATCTAATATTGTACTTAAAATATCATTCCAATGTCGAATATACATGAGGATTATTTTCCAACTTCTTTTCTATATTCTATGAATGTTTTATGCTGTCTGGGGGAACTGCATTGCTACTGATGCAGCATTTGCAGCAAGGTTGCTGATTTCTCGAAATATTAAGAATCCTAGTAGTCGAAAGAATGTTCCGTTAAAAAGAAAAAAGTAAACATTGCGTCCGAATGATTCCTATAATTCTAATCTGTAAATTAAATATAGTAAATTTAATTTAATCTGTACGACTATTTCTCTGAAAAATCAGTCTAGGAATGATTGACTTCAATACAATTATGTCCTACCATTTCTTTAGATTTTTTTAAGGTGATATGAAAGGGTGATTCTATATATATAAACCGCCAAAATTTTTATAAAACTTTTCCCCAAATTAATCGGATTAGAAGCATTTCAATTAGACATAGAAGCATTCTATATGTCATTTCGGTAAAGTAATGATAGAAAGATCAACGGATAACTGTCGAAATCCCGTGAATTCATTATTCTAACGACTGTTTAGGACCAACGTCGCCATCTGTGACGTTTAGCTGTACCCAAATTTTTGTTCTAAAAACACCTATTAGCTCTAAGAAAAGTCAGCATTCTCTTGCAATCGTTGGTGAAAGTATTTTGCATATTTTCCCATCTGATTCTGTAATACTGCATTTCTACGGTATTCTAAATTATTCGAGCTAGGTCCTGAAACTCTTCATTTTCGATTCTAAGCCTCCAAGAAGCGTAAAACATCGAAAACGTGCATGGACCACGCCATGTTGGTTCTAGTCCATGATAAATAAATAAATTCTTGATGAAAAATGAAACTGCATGAGTTTCAAGACGTACTTTAGGGCCTTCATATCCCCGTGGTAAGATTTGAAACGAATCGGTACCCCCAATTCAGAGAATACTTTCACCAGCGAATTGACTTCTTTGTATATATTACATATATATTTTTATATATTATATATATAGATTGAATTATATATATATATATAGACCCTTTCATATCTTAAGGTGATGTGAAAGTGGCGTCAAAGAGGTATCGTTTATGAAACTTTTCGTCGAACTGTTTGTACCGAATCGTCTGAAACTTGACAATGTGATGAGATGAATATGCAGACTATAAGGAAGGTCCTGAAACCCATACAATTTCAATTTTAAGATAATTAGTTTATACCTATTTTCATCTATGATGAAATTTCGCGAGATTCAGAACCTACCTTAGGGTTTCCTTATTCATGTGGTAAAATTTAAAAGAAATTGATACACCCAATTCGAAGAAAAGTTACATGAACGATTGATCCCTAAAATGCCACTTTCATATCCCCTTAAAATCCGTAATTTTCTGAACGAATACCCCCTGGGGCGGTTTTTATACTTCAGTATGGACGCAAGAACTCAACTATTTATTAATTACAGCCGGAGCATTAACACTAAACGTACCGAGATTTAGTAAATACCTATTTGTACCATAACCGGTGAAATTACCGGTTTTTAGATAAGGACTTTATATTTTCCTAATTCACTGGAGAAATATTGATTTTAGTAGGAAAATATTAAACAAAGTAACTTTAAGGTAATAATTAAACAAAAATGTATTGTTTCCATTACTATAAAAGACACAAACTTTACACTAATCGTCCCGGCACTTCACATATACCTAACCATATCGTACCCGGTTAAATGATAGGTTACGAAATGAACATTGTTTTAATGAAAGGAATTGTCAATTTCTTGGAGGAAATGGTGCACAACATAACTTTGATGTAATAATAAAATAATCAACCGTATATTTTTTATATTTTTATACAAAACCAATGTACCGAATATTATTAGATTCGATCACTCCTTGTCTTATATGGTTGCTCTATGACTATACGATCTGCCCTCTGTGTCTCTTAAAATGACCCTGCATTTAGATTTCATTTAGATCCTGCATTCAGATGTATACAACTATAGACTTTTAGATTTTACTTGAGTTCAAAGCTAAGGTTCCAGACAGAGAATCTTAGAAAAAGATGTAAATTCGTCGACCGGTCAAACGACCGGTCGCGGTAAACAAGCCAGGTGATGAATTTTTTTCACTAAAAAAAAAGCAAAAAAAAATATAAATCGACAAATTGATTAATCCGATAATATAAGAATTTACGTAAAGTTAGATGAACAAAACAAAAATAATAACGAATGTATAATTTTAAATGAAACTTTGAAACCGGTCCTTTGACCGGCCCCGGTATGGTTAGTGTTAACACATTCGCGACCGCTGACGTGAATTCACGTCTTTTCAAGTTCTATTCCTGGTTGCCGGTGATGTGAATTCACGTCATTTTAAATTCTATCCCTGATTGCCGCTGACGTGAATCACGTCCATAACGATACACGATACAAGTTTGCGACAACCAGTTTCAGAATTTCATTATTTTCGCCGATACTCAGTATTTGAAACGGACAAAATTTGCCGGTCGCGAATGTGTTAAGAGAATAATGTGACATACGAATACCTATTGGCCGATTGGAGAGCATTGGGCCTTGTTACTGTGCGATGTTACGGTATTACCTAACGTACCTGTTACTCTATAACAGTTCGCGGTTTTTTATCTTGTGGCGATGCGCTATTTCGTTCCTCCGCAGTCGCCAGGAACGAGGATAACTTCCATTCGAGTTCATCCGATGTAAAGTCCAGGGGAAGACGCAAGATGGTTCAATCAATGTACAGACTAATGTAGAATTAAGGAGGAAGTAAATAGAAATTTAATGCGGCATGTATTAACACATTTGCGACCGCTGACGTGAATTCACGTCTTTTCAAGTTCTATTCTTGGTTGCCGGTGACGTGAATTCACGTCATTTTAAATTCTATCCCTGATTGCCGCTGACGTGAATCACGTCCATAACGATACACGATACAAGTTTGCGGCAACCAGTTTAAGAATTTCATTATTTTCGCCGGTACTCACAAGGAAACATTCCCAAGTGTCCGCCTCCGATCTTATTGAGTTTCATATATGTTGAAGAACACAACAATCTAAGAGACACGTGTTTTTTGATATCTGCAATGGTCCACATTTAAGGGGTGAAACAACCCCCCAAAGTTTAGCGTAAAATCGGTTTTTTAAATATTTTTCATAGGAGCAGTGGAGGGATTTCAACGAAACTTTGTTTAAATGTATTCTGTATAAGGACGGTGACAACACAATATTGTTCGGCAATGTTGCACCCCCTCAAGGGGGTGAACTACCCTTCAGGTGACATTTTTTTGTAATATCCATTAAACAAGCACTCCTACTTAAGTTCCACTTACGCGATGTGATTGCTCGCAAAAAATTAAGAAATACGTGTTTTTTGCTTTTTGCCAATAAACATTTACACATCGGTTGTAAACAATGAATGTAGGTGGTATTAGGGTATATCCCGACTACCTTTATTGGGTTATATTGTGACCAATTCATCGTACATAAGTCGTGTCAACGTGGTAATTCTTCAAAATGTCATTGATTTTCATAACATGCAATTATTTATAAATAAATTAAAAAATAGTTTCAGAGGGTACAATTATTTCGCAACGGATTCGACGATTCAGTCATCACCCGTTTCCAACTAGTAATACAATCTCCGTGGTGAAACGATAAAATTGGATTTTCAATACCACCTACATTCATTGTTTACAACCGATGTTTAAATGTTTATTGGCAAAAAGCAAAAAACACGTATTTCTTAATTTTTTGCGCGCAATCACATCGCGTAAGTGGAACTTAAGTAGGAGTGCTTGTTTAACGAATATTACAAAAAAATGTCACCTGAAGGGTAGTTCACCCCCTTGAGGGGGTGCAACATTGCTGAACAATATTGTGTTGTCACCGTCCTTATACAGAATACGCTTATGCAAAGTTTCGTCGAAATTCCTCCACTACTCCTACGAAAAATATTTAAAAAACCGATTTTTTGCTAAACTTTGGGGGGTAGTTTCACCCCTTAAATGTGGACCATTGCAGATATAAAAAAACACGTGTCTCTTAGATTTTTGTGTTCTTCAACATATATGAAACTCAATAAGATCGGAGGCGGACACTTGGGAATGTTTCCTTGTCAGTATTTGAAACGGACAAAATTTGCCGGTCGAGAATGTGTTAAGGAGACTGGGGTCTTTTTACTGAAGAATTCCAGAAGCAGCATGCACTGCAACTGCGAGGATCAGCAATCCTGCGCAATTCGCGGCTTAAAGAGGAAAAAACGACCACAGGAGCCAGCGAAGCTAACGAAGATAGAGACGACCCAGGTCGATCCAATTTTCTCGTTGCCAGATGACCTGATGGATTTCTTGGTCTGTAAAAGACGACGAGAGAAAGGAAGCAGGAAGGAGAGGGACCGGAAGTCCTCGAAGGACTCCTTCACCGGAAGACGA